TCAAATATTTGTTCACAAACGCCATAAAATGTATTAAATAGTACATGTTATACATTACACTTGGATAGCTACTATAACTGTTATTTTTGTATCACTGTTTTGATGTTATGATTACTCAAGAGTCATTTATGTTACAGTCAACAAAACACAAGTTAGGACAATATTGCTGTATTGCAAGGTAAAGGTAGATTGTGTCATGCATGCCAAAAGAATGTGGTCAGATTCTATCCAGGAGTATTTACGGCTAGCTTAGCGTGGATAAATTCTTGTTACCCTCTCGGAGTAATAACGATCATCAATGAGTTCAACATTTAAAATGTCGCTTATCAAGCTTAAATTTGGTATGCAGCTCACGTTCAGTGTAGCAACAATCTGACTACTGCCTGTTTGCTAGATGACTAGTAAACACATTAAAAAAAATCAAAACTATTATTTAAATGAATAAGTTGCTAAGCTACCATAACCCGCAAGTTTAATACTGCTTCTACTGTAATTGCTGTGCAACATTTGTGAGGCGGGTAATAATTGGCATTATCATTGTCATTAACTATTTGTGTCAGGACCAGCCCGTTAAGAGAGAGGATTTAATATATTGTATATTAAGTATGGTACACACTAGATGATATTTACACGTGTTAACATTTTGTATTTGTTATACTGTATAAATCATAAAGTATTATCTGTCCATTCAAGTTGTACTCAAATAAAGTAATGATTATTGGGTAGCTGATGAGTATTGAGGTGGCACTAACTTTAAATCACATGAAGCAATGTGGATGGCAGACTATTGAATATCAACATTTACTGTCAAGTCACATAACTACTCAAGCCAAAAGAGTAATGGGAGGGCTTATGGGATATAGAAGACTAGAGACAAGTAGAGAGAAGTATTTAAGGCCCTGCCGCCAGGGAGTTCTGTATTCGTCTTTTCTGGCCCTTAACAGAGCAATACGGGCCCGGGACCACGTTCTTCTGCACTGCCAAATAAAAGAGGGACAGGTGACCTCCCTTTCCAATGAAAGGACTCCCACATAAGATGTTCAGACCAGGCAGAAGGGTGTTCAGAAGTGATGTAGCGCATGGTCGCCCTCTCGGTATGCCCATTAGACTGAGGGTGGATCCCGAGGAAGACTTACTGTGGCCCCAATCAGTGAACAGAATTCCCTCCAGAACACTTAAGTGAACTTGGACGACATTGAGAGGAAGACCACGAATCTTGAACACATGGAAAAGAATGTGTCTTCTTGGCAGAAGGGGGCTTAGGCAAAGCAACATCAGCATCTTGCTGAACCTGTCCACAAAGATCAAATGATGACTATCCTTCATCAAAGATGGCCACCAGAACCATCGCAGCACCAGTCAAGGCAAAATTGGCCCAAAATGCTGCCTCGACTCTTTGCTCAATGTCCCAGGTAAAAGGAGCTAGTAGGCAAGCCGGTGGCAAAATGGTGTCCCGAACCCTGTGCCTGTAATCTGCCGGGAGAGAGTGTCCGGTTTGCTGTTGCTTGATCCTGCCCGATAAGATGAGAGAAAACAGAATCTTGTGAAGATGACCCACTTCGCCTGGCGTGAATTCGGGCTCTGAGTTGATTGCAAGTACTCCGGGTTCTTGTGATCCGTCCAGACTATGTACAGCTTCTTGGCCACCTCAAGCCAGTGACGCCACAGGCTGCATAAGCGTCAAGGCTCACCCTTTGACATCCAACTGGCTGATGCTGCCTTCCAGACCCTGAAGGATTGATTCACCTCATTGCGCATCCTCCAGATGCTTGACCCTGAACGCCAGTTTCGTATTCACACGGCACAAACAATCAATGTTCAGCAATGTTCCTTTGAAAAGATGTTTGCAATGTGGAAAATCAACAAGGAAAAGGTGCATGTAGTTGTAAGGGACTATGTGTGCAACATGGCTAAAGCTTTGTTGGAGTTTAGTGTGCTCAGGACTGAGGATGTCTGTATCTCAAAAGTGGCTCTTTGGCCCATAGGCAATGTCTCTGTCATTGGTGTGGAAGCCGAGGGTTCATCTCCTGGGCAAGTTCGAATCCCGGTTAGGGCGGTTGGTACCTTCCAGTGGACTCACCACCCGCAGCAAGGTTTAGGTCGGGTTGGTACAGTGCAATGTGATTTGGGTGGCGACTGTTGCCCCCGTGACCCGGTAACGGAAAAGCGGATGAAAATGGATGAAGTCTATTGACTTGGGTTGCGAATGTTTGAGACTTTTAAAATATGGGTCCCCAGAAAAAAAAGTTTGGGAAACACTAGTATAGGAAATGTAATTTTTTTTTGACAATTTGTGAGCAAGTTAGATTTGTCCTAGTTGTAATGGACATTGTCAGGATTATGATTTGAACTAGCGTCCTTATTTTGGCCAGAGAATGTCAATTTGTGGAATGGCTATAGGGGGACATCACAATAATGTGTGGAAAAAAATGCCTGGATATAATAGTATGGGTTGATATTGGTTGATAAGTGTTGGGATCTGCTTATGGTAGATATCGTTTCCCAAACGTTTTCTGGGGAGCCTTATTTCAAAAGTTACAAAACTTAGCGACCCAAGTCAATAGACAGTATTTGTCTTTGGGAAATAATGGCTTATGGGATATTGACAAAACATTAATATTGGACGTTCCTAGTAAGAACTGGCAGTCTTTCTATGTGTATTGAAAATAAGAAAATACAAATGCAGAGACAACAGATAACATTCACCTCTGTTGTTTCTCTTTATTTGATTGACCTGGCTTTGAACCTCTCCTGCACGCTGCACTGTGGAGGATGGAACCATTACGGAACCGTTACGGATTCCCATCTAAATTAAGCACATTGAAAATGTTCATTTAGACCTTTAGCAAACAGCAGCGCATCATGATTAAAAATTTACAATAGCACCTCTGCATTTAGTTATTCCAAAGCCTTTTTATTAAGTTATATGGAATTGAAACAGTAGATGTGTGTTTTAATCTCAGTACGCCAACTGTTCTTAATGAAATGAAAACCTTATAGGTCCAAATGAATTTAAGCACAAACAGAAGAAAAGCACAACTTGCTGCTGCGGTATATTACTGCGACCACGTTGCACTGCAAGAAAAGATCCTCTGAGAGTAACATTTTTTTTTGTAATGCTCGCCTAGTACGACAGTGCTTTGTCCTCAAACATAAATAGTTTCACTTTCAGCACGTTTTGTGAGAGAGGAGGGAACAGAGATTGCATGTTTAAGTTGAACATAGAGTATACTAATCATACTATCCATGTTCGTTTGAATTGCACTGCAGTTTGTTACAAGTACACTAACACATTTTTGATATTTATTTTATTCATTATTTGCATTTATATCGTTGGTGAGTGGTAAAATACATCAAAGGCAGCATATTTCTTTGAATGAGAAAGCATTTTATTTCAGTCAATTATTTTCTGTCATGCCCGCCCTTGGGGACAGAAATGTTTTCACAACCCCCCCCCCCCCCCCCCCCCCCCCCCC